TTCAAAAGCTGCTTCCACTTTACCCTAGTCCATGGGTGTCTGTATAATTTGAAACTTTGTTATATCATAAAGAAAGGGAAGTTTTCTTTCCCCTGACTACAGTTGTGGGTATTGGTGGGCTTCTGGGCAGCATCTCCTGGGCACCCTGGAATCCTGACGGAGTGCTGGGAGAGAGTGGGTGGGGGGGAGGACTTGGGTTAACTTGAAGACTGACCTAGTAGGAGCATTTCCCTTAACTGATTTGTAAAGTAAATCAAGCATAGAAACAAAGATGAAAACAGAGCACAGAAAACATCTCTTCTATTCTCCCAATATTTTCTTAGCTCCGAGTCAGCTGGTATTCTCTCTCAGAGTCATGGACCTTTCCCATCTCTGACTGTGACAACACGTCCAACTCTGAGCCTCTTCCTTGTGTGCCTGGCAGTAGCTGCCACACTGTGTGTTATTTAAGAAGCTCCATTTGGCTCCATACTCTACAGAGGAGAGGAACATATGGCCTTGACTTAAAAATATTCATGAGTCATGTTGCCCAGTGCTGAAGTACAGCCACCTCTAGGGCAATTTTCCAACAGCTCATATTGGTTTACAACATGGAATGAAGACCAGATGAAGTTCCAGGAGGTATTCAGAGGAGACAGAATGTAGTGACGCAAGTTAGAATTTGGTCACTATGCTGGGTTGCATGTCCCTTCTGGAAAGAGGCATGGAGTGTTAGTAGAATATCAAAGTAAGGGATCCCACTCTCTGGTTCCATTTATAGAGCCAATGTTCTGCTAAATCCTTCTGTAGAAAGAACTTGAGTAAACTTGGAAGTGAGGGTTACTCCATGTATTGACTTACTAGTGATTTTCCTCTTTCCATGACCACGAAGGGCTCACCTTGCCTCATGCTGTTTGCTTGGTCTAGAATACCACATGCTTTAACTCCCGTGCTGCTAACAGAAGATTCTTTCAGGGATAAGTGTTCATGATTTAAAAAAAAATGGTTATGGCTTTTAGGGAATTTCTGGGAAAGTTCAGATTGTGGATTTTTGTTATTGTTTTGGTTGTTATTTTCATTTTAACATTTCTGAGGTTTCTACAGAAGTGGTCCTGAGTGTGTTTGGTTTCCTGGGGACATTTTATGTGATTTGTCAAACACCAATATTAAAGAAGCCCAGTCAGAACAACTGGGGCTGGGGGATAAAATGGCTTAGCTCTCAGATGGTCTAAGAGTAGACAGGTGGGACGTCTATAATAGTTTCATGATTTAGAATACAATGTACTATTTGCCCTCTATCCTTTTTTCTATTGTAAATTAATCATTAGAGGGTTCTATCTGAAACACTTTTTTTCTCACTCTGTATCCTGTTTCAACCTGCCCCATGCAGGCGACTGCACCTGACTGTAATTTGGGGAACACAAATTGCAGTGGTTCAGCACTTTGTGACTCCTCTAATAAGTTAATGTCACTCCCATCTTCTGGCACAATTCAATTCAGAAAGGTTGCAATGTATCATTAATGCATTAAAAAATGTTGTGTTTTTAGACTGAATACTTGGAATTAATTGGGAGCCTGACAATCCAAAACAGACTTTTTTACAGTGCTTGGGAGCCCCGAGGAAGCAATTCTTGTTTAAGCATCTGCATTATCAGAGAAGTCCAAGTACTTCAAAGGTCTGTGCAGGATGCTCAAAATAGGCACCTTGCCAAACAGAAATTGAAACACATATACATACTATACTATTTGCCTTACAGAAATTAATTTTCAGCCAGCAGCACCTAGGATTATTTAATATTTATCTTTAGCAGCAGGAAGATGAATCTATTATTTTATGAGTTGATTTTGTTATTTTACCTGAGTGTTTCAGTCAGTCTTTATGGTAGGAGACACTTATGGCCTCCCCTATGCCCTGCCTGTTACCCTGTTTTTAAATTAGTATTATTTTTTAAGTATTCAGAAGCAATGGGAAGATTCATTTTTTTAATCACTGGATTTCCCCAGTTGGTTCCCTGGGAAGAAATGATTAGGTCCTTTCAGTGATCTGAGTAAATGTTAAGATCCAGGGTCATATCAGTTGAATGGACTCTGTGGTGGTAGTAGGTGTTGAAGAAACAGTTTTGGATTGCAAGTAAGGAAATGGAATTCTAGAGCCTCTCTTCACCTTTGTGACCTGAGAGAGATCTCTTAACTTTTCCAGAGCCTCCCCCTCATCACCTGTACCTAAGTAAGTTAGAGTCAGTAGTCCCTACAGAACTCTTGCCCCTAGCAATTCATCATTCTGAAATGCCACACGATCCTACAGTTCCTCTTTGTGTTGCTGAGATTCCAAAGGGTTGTGTGCTATGTTGATTGTTTGTGCCTGTGAAATTACAGCACCAAGAAAGGAATATGTCACTGTGTAGAATAACAAAATGACTGATAGAGTGTCAGGGGGACTTGAGTGTATAAAAAGCCACAATATTGCAAAGTACCTTGTAGATGGGAACTGTTAAATATCAATGGAGCATTGCTGTGTCTGCACCGTCAGCACTTCCCTATGACCACAGTGAGAGAGATGCTAAAATGTCCTTTCATGGACCACATTATGTGCTGCTTACAATGAATATTCTGGCCATGGTTTATTACATTTTTGATAAATTGTAACTCCTTGGCCCCAAATTTGGTTAGCTTATCTCTAGTGCCATTTAAATCTTAAAAGACTGAATTTGCCCCAAAGATTTAATCATCATTCAGCAGCGGTCTGTAACCATGTGGTACTAATTTAAATTACTGTAGCAATGGACAAGTCTCTATCCAGAAATTAATAAATGCAATTTATAAGGAATGTTAAGTAACAACTAACAATTTAATGCTTTGTGAGTTTCAGCCAAACTGATTAAATAATTAAAACAGATTTCTAGGGATAGGGGAAGAGATTTTACCATAAAACAGATAAACAGTTTGGGAATTGTATGCATTCTTTTAGACATTTAAGATAATTAAATCCAAAACCTATGTTAAAATAACACTGAAGGTCTGGTTTAAATCAGTAGTGGGAATTGCTAAGTTAAGAGTTGAACACCATCTTCAATGTCTGCCCCATTGTTTTAAATAAGGCATTTGGGGACTCTCAGAGCACTGGGTCAGTTTATAGACCATGCTATTTGGTAGAACAATATTGGTCGCAAGCACAAATAAATGTATCGAATGGAACTACCTTCTTGCCATATTTCCAGGCTTTTACTAAGCTAAACTAGATGTTTAGAATCATCTCAGAGCTATTGTACAAACCTAAAACTTCCTGGTTTTCAAATTCTTATTTGTTTTGAAAAAAGATAAAGGAATTTAGAGATTATAGCTGTTTTGATTAAATATGTAATAAGTGTAATATGTACTTTTTGGGCTTAAAAGAATTCATTTTGCAACAAATTGTTGAATGCTTATATATGTACAATACAAGTATGTCTGTGATACAAAGATTAATAAATAAGGAATGGAAACACCCTGTTTTCTGATGAATAATAATTTTGTAATAAGCAGATGGGTAGTCCCCTTGATAGAAATGACTGTAAGTTACCATAGGACATACTCCTTTTAAGGATTTTTTTTTTCAGAGAGAGAATGCATGCGCGCGTGTGCACACACGCACGCACACACACAGAAGCAGGAGGGGGAGGGGCAGAGAGAGAGGGAGAGAGACTCTTAAGCAGGCTGGATCTTACGACCCTGAGATCGTGACCTGAGCTGAAATCAAGAGTCAGATACTTAACTGACTGAGCCACCCAGGTGCCCCAAGGATAACTTTTTTAAGTGATTTGCATAAAGGGCTCAAAAGGTGCCCATCATTCATCCTTGTATCTGAAGCCCACCAACCCTGGTGGAGAAAGACTATCTAACCACTTGTGTCAGGGCCTCCTTCCTTAACTGTGCAAAAGCTGGGTGGTATTTGCAACATGGAGTGGAAATGTGAAAATTGTTTGAAAACCATCTTTTAGAGGGGTGCATAGTTAGTGAACACTAGTTGGTTGAATTTTCACTGAACTGGCCAGCTATATGGGGGTTAAGTAGATGCCAGTTGAATGTTCTATTGCCCGATAGGTTTGGAATTCATTACCTACAAAATTGAACTTACCACACTTTCCTCTAAATGTACTTGCCCTTATGTGATAACCAATTACTCTGGTATGCCTGGGACTGAGAGGCTTCCCAGAATATAGCTCTCTTAGCACTAAAACTGGGAAAGCCCAGACAAACCCAGATAAGTTGATCACCCTACTTTTACTTTTCCTCTTGTCTCCTCTGTCCTTATTAATCATACTTTCACTTACCCAGTCATTCTGGACTTTTCCAGTTCTTTTTCCACATTCAGATTTTCACTGAATTCCATCAAATATTTCATCCCTTCCTCTTCTCCAGGCTCCTTGTTATTGCCTTGGTTTAAGCGATGTCATGATTTTCCCGAACTATTGAAACAACTGCTAAACTGAACACCCCACCTCTAGACTTACTCTCACCACAATCTCCCCATGACCCAGCTGTCAATGATATTTTAAGATGTCTATTCACTTTCTCAAGCCTTCAGTGTTACTTATTACATAAAATCCCAGTTTATATACATGAGATATAAAAGGCTCTCTCTCCGTCATCTGGTTCCTGCCCAAGTCTCCAGGCTCACCCCCATCTGCCTTTCTTCTTGAACTCTATTCTCTAGACTTTTGGATCCACTTGGAGTTTCATGGGGGCAGAATACTAATTCACACTTGTACACCTTTGGCTATAATATGTCCTCTTTTAAAAATATATTTCCCAGTCCTCTTTTCATCTCACAAACAGTGAATTATTTTTTAAGACCTAGTTCAAGCATCACATTACTTTATGAAATCCTCTTACCCCCAAAGTAAAATTGACAACTGTGCATTTTGTGCTAGTCTGTGCCTTGCATACTCATCATGGACGTAAAGACACATGTTACAGTTATTTATTGAGTAGTCATATATATTTAGTGAAGGAAAACCGATTTTATTAATATTTATTTTTAGGTTTTGGTATTAGGTCTGATGCATAACAGACCCTGAAATGTTGGTGGAGTGAATGAAGAATCTCTGTTGCTACATCATGGGAACTATACTGAGACAGCAATGCAATGTGTGTGGTGAGTCTCCAAGCACTTTGATAAGGCCCTTCTCATATCACCTAGTTGAAACTTTTAGTAGCTGTTTACCTGTTTATCATTTCACTATTATGTCATCTCTTTGCTCATAGAGTAACTTCCAGAAGCAAATTTTATGTCCACAAGTTAGGAGGGTTGCCATTTTGTATCATTTTTTTCTTATACTGTATTAGTTTTGATTCAAATCTAACAAACCCTGTTGACTGCCTATCCAACATCCATCTCTCTGTGCCACCCCACAGTTTATCCTTCCAAACAGAATCCTCTTCATTCCAGGGTTACCTTTCCTTTGCAAGACTGCATACTTCTGAAGCGGTTGCTTCCCTTCCCAAGGGGGTGGCTCCTGATCAGTCTAAGGCAATCATAGTGGCCCTATACCCCAAAGCTACCTAAGGATGGTTTGAAGTTCTTGTGATACAATTCTTGCAATGAGATGTAAGATGAGTCTGTTGGAGATCTTTTGGAAAGTTTCCCTCTTACAAGAATGGTACCCAGGAAGAAATGGTCTCTTGTTCTCTGGCTGTCATTCTATCTATATGTGACACCTAAAACTACTACGGCCATCTTGTGACATTGAGGGAAGCCAGCATTTAGATGAAGCCAACACTGAGACCAACATAGCAGAAAAACAGAAGGAATCCAATCTGGATGTCATTGTGGAATCTCTGATCCTGCCCCAGCTAGAGCCCTCAGTCTCTTTCAAGACTTATAATTATGTTTCCTGTGGTTGAAGGTCTCATAACTGACACAGACAAGTTTATCATTGTGATCTGAGAGGGCCAGGGCCATTTGTTTAATACGTACCATCTGGTACTTCGAGGGTAAGATAGAAATATGTGAAGTATACTCAGAATAAAGGCAAAAACCAAAATGACCACCTGTGAAGATTCCAGTTCTACCATATTTATCAATAACTATTTTGAATGAATCAGTCAATAACTGAAGATTCTGTTGGAGGAATTATAATAAGTGATTATCAGGAACACAGACTCAAAGCAGTCATAACCTTTTTCTGTATGAGCTAATGGTGTCATTCATGAGCTGACTTAAATTACTATACAATAAAGAAGAAAGTAATGGATATTATGGTAGTGGTAATGATCCAACGTTTTATTGAGCAATTATTATGTACTAGACACTTGTTCTAAGTCCTTCCCAAGAACTTTTATTTGCATCAGCTATATTTTCTCTTTCAAATATTTTCCTCACAGACCACTTCACAGCCTATAAATACTTATAAGCCACTACACTTATATAAGTCTCTCTCATTCTGTAAGAGAGAAGAGAAAACCACTACCTTTCCTGACTTTGCTTTCCTCTCAGGATACCACCATGTTCCCCTTTACAAACTTCAAGTTGTTGTTTTTTTATCGTTAATAAACATTATTCTTTAGAGCTGTTTTAAGTTCATAAGACAATTGAGAAGAAAGTACAAAGTTCCTATATATCCCTGTCCCCACACATACACAATCTCTCCCACTAACCATATCCCCCCACCATAGTGGTACATTTGCTATAATCCATGAGCCTATATTGACACATCATTATCACCCAAAGTCCATAGTTTGCATCAGGGCACATTCTTGGTGTTTTATGTTCTGTGTTTGGGCAAATTTAGAATAACAGACATCTACTGTCACACAGAATAGTTGCACTGCCATAAAAGTCTCTTGTGCTCTGTCTATTTATCCCTCTGACCCCCTTTACCAAGTGTTTTGAAAAAATAAATACATGACACCTTCTTCTACAAGTCTCTAATTTCTTCACATCATGTTCCTTCTTTGATCTACTGCACTTATTTTCATTCCCCTCATTTTTCTGAAACCGCCATGAAAAAGGTCACCCTTGACCATGATATTGACAATTCAGTGACTGTACCCATGCTGGCTACTTCTTTTGTCATCCCCTCTATAGCAACATCATCTATCCAGTTGACCCAAGCCAGAAACCTCCACCTTTACTTGTCTCTCACCTCCCTTCCCCTCTCACTTGTCAATCTTATCATTCTACCTCCAAAATTTTTATTGCATATGTTTCTCCCGGGAGAAACAACTTGTCCCACCTTAGGCTTCCATCATCTCTCCTCTAGACTACTGTAAATACTTCCGAGCTTATTCTCATGTCAACCTACACCCTACAGTGAAAGTCAGAGTAGCTTTCTGAAACGCCATTGTCTCCCTGGCAATCCCTGTTTGAAATACTTTAATAGTATCTCTTCCTTGCAGAATAGCATCTAAACTCCTCGGCTCTGTTGTAAAGGTCTTCACAATCCTGCAAAGGTGCTCCTTCTCAGTGCCACCTCTAGCCACTCCTCCTCCATGTTCTCTCTTCTACCTAGACTGGAGTAGTCTGGGCCCTGAGCATGTGTACCTCCACCACTCGGTGACTTTGTATAGTCTATTCTCTAGGTGTAGAATGCCATCTCTCCCTTGTCCAGGTAATGAACTTCTACTGCTGCAGAGGCACATTGCAAATGTTCCCTGATTTCCAAAATACCCATCTTTTCATAGCACATCAAAACTATTGTGCTGTGTTGGTATATTTGTTGATGTGCCTATTCCGTTTTCTTAAATGTGAGCTTTTGAAACAAGGAACTCTATCTCATTTACCTCAATATCTCTAGTACCTGGCACAGTGTCGAGTACTTAATAAATGTTTGTTGCATTAAGGCTATTGTGATGGAGTGACCAGAGTGTAATGGGAGCTCTGAGAGGGAACAACTGGGCAGGGGGGTTTTATTCATTCATTCATTCAACAGTTAAGTACAAAATGCATATTATGAGCCAAGCATTCACCTAGGCACTGGACATAGTGAACAAACAGAAGATTATCTTACCCTCATGGGACATAACATTCTGTTTTAGTGGGAGATGACAGATACAGTGTGTTTGGCAAAGGGCCAGTATCATGAATGAATGAAAGGGATAAGACAGAAGTATAAGGCATAAGGAGTGGTAAGGACCATTGACAAACTGAGCAGCCCATGACCCACCCAAAGATCACATTAAAACATCAGTAACAGCAGCTGTGCATGACCCGGCCACTGAATGTATTTGGGGGCCAGATTTAGTCTGTAGCCTACGTCTTTGTGGTCCCTGTTGCAGAAGCATCTTTGTTCCAGATCTTGTTCCTTGAAAAAGCAGGGAGAGGCAGTAGATCCTTGAATGCTGGCAGAATATCCTTATTAGTTTGACTGCAGTCTACCTTAATAACAGCACCTCACTTTGTCTTAGCCTCTTTATCCTATGCTTATAGCTTAATTTTTTCAACAGCCACAAAGCTGTCCTGAGGAAATAGTCCACTTGCATTCCTTGGAAAGAATACCCTTGTACTTGGATATCAAAAGCCCAGCAGTGAGAGCACCAAGGGGCAAAAAGAGCATGGGCTCTCTCATACCACATTCAGAAGCTTGGGTGTATTAAAACAACTTCGGCAAACATCCTTTTTAGGGGATAGGAGAACAAAGAAGTGTGCCATTAGTATGTGTGGGTATGACTAGATGGCAGAAAAATAAACTTCGTAGTATTTCAAAGATGAAAAGGCACTTTTAAGGAACTCTAAATTAACCGTTTCCTTTTATAGACAGGGAAACTGAAGCTCAGGAATTAGTAACTTACCCAAAGTTGTGCACCTGGCATATATTAAAACAGTGTGAATAGTTGACCATCTACTTCTGCCCGGTGTTAGCAGCCAAGGGTTTTAAGCAATATGGATAGATTGGAGGCTCTGACCAGCAAACCGTAGGTGTTTTTCCAAATTTCTGTGATCTAAATGGCCAGCTCTTAGTGGGGAAGAGGTCTATGATAGAGGTAGCTGGAGATGGATTATAGTTGATAGAAGATGTGAGGATGGTGTATGAAATATGTTTTACTCCAGCAAGAAAATTAAAGCAAGAGGTTTGCAGAATTATAAGTTCTGATAGTGTGTGGGAGAAGAGTACTGTTTATCTATTAAATGATTTATTAATCCAATTTATCTATTAAATTATTCATTCATTCATTCACTCAGAAATGTTGAACCCTTTCTATTACTTACTTCTGAACGAAGTGCTGTGGAAGACATAATATAGTAGAGTGCTCCTCCTTCCCTGAGCTCAAAGAGCTCACAGTCCCACAGAGAAGCCAGATATGCAGGCAAATCATCACAATGTTCTGTGCCATGTGAACATGTATGTTGTTCCTGAATAAAGGGAAAGTCTACCTGAGCACTGAAGGCAATTTGCTCTAAGTCAAGTGCTGTGTTAAAAATACTATTGCACCCTCCCTAGTCATCCTAACAATGCTGCCTGTGCACTAATAATCCTCTGAAGAATCTTTCTCCCTCAAGAAAATTAACCTGCTTAGAAGAGATTATGAAGAGGTTTTCTGCTTCTTTTGAAGTTACAGTACTTGCCAAGTGATGTACCCTGTGTGTCTGTGACACTGTTCCCAGAAGGACCAAGGCCCCTGAGTCATAAGATGGCAGTCATTCTCTGCAGCCATTGGCTCCCAAGTAGCAGGCATTTCCATCCATCTGCAAAAGGAAGAAGAATTAGCCGCCTGCTTGAATCAACCGTATGTGTGTTGGTTAGGAGTTGTTATGAGACGTACCCCTGACAAGAGCCGAGTTGCCCAGCCAGCTTCCCTTTATCAGATGGGCCAGTGCCAATCATCATTGTTCTCACAAGGTGATAGCAGGAGTTGTTCCCCTTTAGAAGATGGTGGCATTCTGGCAGGGTCACCATGGTGTTAAGATGCATAGCATTTGTCAGGTTTGCCTAGGACTTCTGGAGGTTTAGTTATGAAACTTGTTAATTGAGCTATAAATATAGCTGCAGCCTTTGCCTTCCAGTAAGGCAGTGTGTTAATTTGGGTTTGGCAGGGGGATGGTGCAAGCTGCCAATGTTATGTTAGGATTAGTAACGTGCAGTACATTTTAACTCCACTTCCCCATGTGCCATGCTTTCCTCCTCTGTTTGTTATCTTTCTGAGGGAAGAGAGAAG